AGGCCAGGTGTGGTAGCCCAAGTCTCTAATCCCAGCACTCTGGGAGGATCACAAGTTTGAGCCCAGCCTGGGCACTTAAGTGGTTTATCGAGCCCTGTTTCAAAATATAAAAGAAATTTTTTTTTGCAGTGGCTCAGTTTGAGGACCCGAGGTTCAATCACCAGCATCACAAAAATAAATAAGCTCAGAAATAAGGTTGCCTGGCCAACCTGGGCGCCCGGCAAATGAGGGACGAAGCTCTGATCCAAGCTTTCTGGCTCACTGACAGCCCCTTCTCTTCATCTCTTCAAGACAGTGTTTGACTGTGCAGTTCATTCACTTTGTAGCCTTGAACTTGAGGCGATCCTCCCGGCTCAGCCTCCGGAGTGCTGGGATAACAGGGGCATGCACCCTCACCCGGCCTAGCAAGCCACCCCCTTTAAGCCACTGGATAACAGAGCTACTTGCTAAAAAGAGAACCCTCAGTGTTGGATTCTGCTGGCTACTTCGTGACCAAGGTAGCAGCCCTTGCCTCGGTTTCTCTAACTTGACTCAGCAAAGGACTTTCCCTGGGTTCCCGGCAGGACTCCCTTCCCCAGTGCTCTCGCTAGCTGGGCCAGCAGGGCCAGGCCCTCCAGACCTCACCCCTCGCAGCAGCGCGGCTGCCTCACTTCCCGGCACACAAGGTCTTCGGGGCGGCTGGCTGAACTCCGAGGGGAGCAGCAGCTGCGTGGAGGAGAGGAGCTGGGGCTCCGTGCTTCCTGGGGTTGACGGCAGCTCTGGGGGACCATAAATTTGCTTCTCCTTGGACCTTTGACCTGAAATGGCTGCTAGGAGGGGTCTGTGGAGTGCAGCTGGCCTCCACCCCCGCCACTGACTTGTCACAACTGTCCCCTTCAAGCCCGGCTCCACGGCCCCCAGCTCAGAAAGTGAACGGAAACCTGGTGAGCCCAGGATGCCAAGGAGTGAGGCTGCCAGGCCCGGCTCACTCCCCATCATGGCCTCGTACTCCCTGGCATGAAAAGCCACACACAGGCACCATGCTGGCTGCTTGGTGGCCACAAAGGTGCACGAGACCTGCTACGTGCTGCCTTTTGCTCTCTGTATCAGGGCATCCGAGTGGCACGAGTGCAGAGGGAACTAATCCCAGCTGAGACTCTGTGAATACCTCCTGGAGTTGTGCAATGCTCAGCTTTGACAGACGGACAGGGTGGCCTCACCAGGGAGAAACCTAAGTTGCACACACACATGATGGTGATGCAGTGGAAGGAGATGGCTTCACACTGGGGCGCTGGGGAAGGCTCTGTGGAGGAGGGGATGCTTGGGTTTGGGCTTTAAAGACAAGGGGTGAGTGGGAAGGTCACCCAGGTAGAAGGCACAGATTTAGCAGCAAGCAGCACGCCATAAGCACCCAGCTCGGCTCCTGTGATGGTCCTGGAATGCACTGGAAAGAGGTGGATGACAGGACACAGGCTCTGGCTCGTGAGGTAATGGGGATCCCTAGCAGGTTCCTGCTGAGGTAGGGGTGACACAAAAGAGGCTGCTTGGTGGGAAAGTTACCCGAGCATCAAGCAGCCCTGTGCCATGGGCCCCAGCCTCTAGCCTGGCCCTTCCGGGCCCTCCGGCAGCAGGAGGGGAGGAGCGGTCCCCAGCCCAGCAGTCCCCTCCCTCTCCTCTGGCTGAGTCCTCCCCAGCCCCTGCGCCGGCCCCCTCTCCATGGTCAGGTCAGGACAGTGACGCAGGAGTCAGGGACCTGGGGAGCACAGCCCGGCGGGGAGGGGGACGTGTGCGGACGTGTGCGCCTGTGCATGGCTGCAGCTGCACTGGGCTCCGAGTGCCGAGCCAGGGCGGCAGGTCTGGGGAGGGTCCGAGCAGGCCCAAGGTGGGCAGAGGGCAGCAGCGCGAGGCGGCCCTCATTCGTCCGGCCAGCAGTTCCCTGGCTTCCTCTCCCACCAGCCCGTCGCTGGTCACACTCTCTCTGCTGCACCCTCACAGGTCCCTTCTTCACCCCCCGCCGGTCACCTCAGCATGGCACCCCTGACTGCCTCAGTGACAGACTGCAAACTCTTCATCTCCCTTTTTGGCCTTTTCTCCTTAGAGTTTTGTTTTTGTTTTGTTTCTGAGTTCTTGTTGTTTGTTTTGTTTTCAGTACTGGGGATTGGGTATTAAACTCAGAGCCTTTACATTGAGCTACATCCCAGCTCTTCAATTTTTTTTTTTTTTTTAAATTTTGAAACAGGGTCTCCTCAATACATCGGTAAGGTGCCTGGCTGGGCTGGAACTTCTGATCCTCCTGCCTCAGCCTCCCAGAGTGCTCTCTCCCAGGGTCCCTGGCAAAAAGGATGTAGTCCATAAACCTTTTTCTTTCTTT